CATTTATGTTATTATGAAAAGAGCTCTGAACAGGTAGAACTGGGCTCTGGACCTAGCTCTGGAACCACCTAGCTGTGTGATCTTCAGCAAAGCAATCAATCAACAAGCATTTCTTTTTTAAAAAATTAAATAATCTTTCATTTTATCTTCTTTTTATATCATCTTTATTTCCCATTTCATTCCTTATCCCTCCCCTTCCCAGAATACTATCCCTTTAAGTATGAAGAAAAGAACAAAGAAAATTAAAGTTCCATAAAACTTTGTAACATAATAAAAATGTACAATATTATATACAGTATCCCCTGCCCATGGGTAGCTAGGTGGTGAAGTTGAGTGCTAGGCCTGGAGTCAGGGAGACCTGAATTCAAATCAGGCCTCACATACTTAGCAGCTATGTGACCCTGGGTAAATCACTTACCCTTTTTTGCCTCAGTTTTCTCATCTGTAAAATGAATTGTAGAAGGAAAGGACAAACCACCCCAGTATCTTTGCCAAGGAAACCCCAAATGGAGTCACAAAGAGTCAGACACAACTAAAACTACTAAATAACAAATCCTCTACCCATGGCCCCAACTTCTGAAAAGGAGCACAGAGAGGTATCATCTCATGCGTCTTCTTTGGAGCCAAGCTTGGCCATTATAAGTTTCACTCATTCTGTTTCTTTTTTCTTTTTTCTTTTTTTTGCTGTTCTTTCCATTTACTTTGTGTTTATCACTTTCCTGGTTCTTCTTATTTTACTTTGCATGAGTTTGCATAGTCTTTTCCATACATCTCTGTATCTACTATATTTGTTTCTTATCCTACAGTAATACTCCATTACATTCATGTACCACATAATGTTTAGTCATTCTCCAATAGGTGGGCATCTGCTCTGCTTCAAATTCTTTTCTATCACAAAAAGTGCTGCTCTAAGGATATGAGGGTCTTTCTTTTTGTCATTGACTTCCTTGGGGTTTATGCTTCGCAGTAGAATTTTTAAGTCAAATGGTATAGATGTTTTAGTCATTTTGCACAAATTTCAAATTGCTTTCCAGATTGGTTGTACCAATCTGCCGCTCTACCAACAATGCATTGCTATACCTATCTTTACATGACCCCATCAACATTGACCATTCCCATGTTTTTTTTTCAACTTTGCCACTTTGCTCCTTCTGAAGTGAAACTTCAGAGTTGTTTTGATTTTCATTCTTCTTATTATAAAAGAAATGAAGTAAAATGAATGAATGTAGAAGCATTCATTAGATGCTGGCTATGCTTGGCAAAGCCCAGGGAGCTCTTAGTTCATATTAATGTGTCAGATGGCAAAGCTGGAGGTCTTGAAGGTTTACAGTCAGGACAGATGGTAAAGCCTAGAGGACCTTAGGATGCACATATGAGTTTTATCAGTAGTCAAATGTGTAAGTAGTCAAGCATCCCAGATGGATTCTTGGATGGCTAGAGTCAGGGAGGGAGAAAGGGAAGAAGAAGAGGGAAGGGAAGAAAGGAGATTGTCCCTGGTGGTGGTGGTGGTGGCAAACCTTCCCTCATCCCAGGCATCTTGGATAGGTTCTGGGTGTCCTAGGGCCTGAGGACCAGGCAATTTGGAGTATTCTTTCATATGGTTGTTAATAATTTACAATTGTTCATTTGAAAAATGTGTGCTCATCTCTTTTGACCACCTATCTATTAGGGAGTGGCTTTTGGTCTTATGTATTTCTTCACGAAACATTTATTAAATGCCTCCTGTGTTCTTAGAAGAGATCTCAGCAAAACCTTGTATGGAATTCTGGAATTCTCTTTACAGTAGCCATAAATGTCAGATGGCCATGTAGCTTTTCCTTGAATACTTCCAATATTTGAAGGCAAAGATTATATCCTATCCCTATAGTCTTTTGTACCGCCACTTTCCAGATTTGTCGTAGTCCTACACATCTTCCCCCATTTGTCAATGCCCCTCTTAAATCTGAATGTGATGGACTAGATGTCATCTGACCAGGCACTACCTCTCTCTCTGAACCTCCACCTTCTCATGTATAAAATAAGCAGGTTGGATTGGATGGTTTCTAAAGGATATTCCTGCTCTAACATTTGATGTTTATAGACAGTCCTCACCAGTGAGCCAGCCCTCCCCAATCTGTCCCCTCTCCTGATCTCCCCCTCTCTGCTCTCCTTTCCTCATCACGATTCTGGCCCCCAGCCGAATAGGCACATATGTTGATGCAGCTCCAGTGAGAAGAGCAGCAGATGCAGGGATGGCCGAGGAGTGGCCTCCTGTGCTGGGGAGTGAGGGATTTTGAATTGGGAAAGGAATGGGGGTAGGGTGGAAAGTGTAGAGGAAGGGAAAGCATGATTGGGAACTGCCATCTGCTGTCTTGGGAGTTTCCAGGGAAGTGTCTGCTCCCATCCAGAAGTCCCTTAGGAACAGGTAGAAGACATGCTTCCTAATTGCTGGTTAATTGGAAACATTTCAAACCATTTGACAGGTGCTCCTCCTGTCTCTGGCTGGAAGGAATCTGATGCTGTCATAAATGACTTAGAATCATAGACTGTAGAGTCAGAACTAAGAAGGACCTTAGTATATAGAATGTAAGAACAAATAACATAAAATGTCACAGCTAGAAGGGACCTTAGAATATAATAATAGCCAGCATTTATACAACCAGTCTACAAGCATTAAGTGCCTAGTTTGTGCTGGGCACTGCATTAAGCACTGGGGATTCAAAGAGAGACAAAATCAATCCCTGCCCTCAAGGAGCTCACATTCTAACGGAAGAGACAACATGGATGAATAAATGAGTGATTTCTTAAGCAGGCATCCTGTGCCAGGCCCTGTGCTAGGTGCCTTAAAGTTTTTTTGTTGTTCTTCAGTCATTTCAGTCATGTCTGACTCTTCATGACCCCATTTGGGGTTTTCTTGGCAAAGATACTGGAGTGGTTTTGCCATTTCCTTCTCCAGCTCATTTTACAGATGAGGAAACTGAGGCAAATATGGGTCACACAGTTAGTAAATGTCTGAGGCCTGATTTGAACTCAGGAAGATGAGCCTTCCTGACTCTAGGGCTGGCACTCTATCCACTGTGCCACCCAACTGCCCATGTTTTCCCTTATAATCCTATGTATTTTATTTTATGTATTTAAAAACATTCAGAGAAAAGGTCCATAGGCTTCACCAGACTGCCAATATGGTCCATGGTACAATAAAAGTTGAAGAACCCCTTGCATGGACCATATCCTACCACATAGATGAGGAATCTGGGCCCAAAGAGTGTTGCTGTGTTACTAATACAACTTAGTGACAGAGTAAGAATTAGAATCCAGAATTAGCATAACTTTTTTTTCCCTAAAGAACACTTTCCACCACACTCTACTGCTTGTCTCCAGGGCCCCGGATGATTTCCACTTTTCTTGCATGGGTGGGGAGGAAAAGGAATGGGAAAGTTTCTTGCAGAGATAATTGGAGAGGAGGCCTTCTAAGGAGGAGGTTAACAGCTTCAGGTGGATGAAAGTCAACATCTTTGACAAAGTTTGATTGTTTGGGTAAAAGAATGGTATTTTCTATAGCATTACTTCCTGGAAGAGATTGTTCTTTAAGCATAAAATAGGAAAAATAAAGCCAAAGGGAATTATTCTGTCCCGATCAACCCAAACTACAGTCATATAAAGTCCAACCTTCTGCCTCCAGCCATGGTGATGCCCACACTGTTCCACAGGGAACCTTAATGTTTATTGGGAAGTTACAAATGCCTTCTCCATAGGAGATCCCTCAAGGCAGGGACTGTGTCTCATTCCATCAGACTAGTAAGTAGATTCCTTAGAGCAGAGGTGGGCTGCACTGAGGCAATTCTTAATTATTTGAAACACTGATTCTTCCATTTGTGGATTGTCGAAATCTCATTGCTTTCCTCTTCCTTCCTTTTGCTGCCTAATCTTTGGCTGCTTCCTACCAGTCAACCCTTTGGCATGATAAGGGTTGGGCAGGAGAATGAAAGAAGAGGTTCCCAGGCTCCTTTGGGCTCCTAGTCAGCTATTCTGTTGGGTGGTTTGTGACATAGAGAAAGCTTTTAAGAAGGATTTTTCGTATCTCTGAATTTCTATTATCCATGCAACCAGTGTCCCTACACTATTTCCATGGAAATGGAAAGCAGGTTCATAAATAGGAGGTATTGGGGCAACATGAGGGTGAAAAATTCTGGGCTTAGATAAAGGAAGAGTAATTCGCTAGAATGTGTTCATTATTTAGCATCAGGGCCACAAATTCCCAAGGCATGAGGCCTAGAGAAATCATCTGATCCATCCCTCAGATTCTAGGGAAAACAAGATTTTCAATATCCCTAAAACAAAGAAAATCAATCACTCCTATGAATATGACCCCACCAAGTAAAATCTACACAGCCTTTCTCAGTAAGCTCTGGCTGCAGCTAATGCTGCTTATCATTGATTTGCCTGGCTGCTTATCAAACAAACAGGTGGCACAGTGACTACAGTGTTTGACTTGGAAGACCTAAGCTTGCGTCCTGTCCCAGATGCTAACTAGCCATGTGACCCTGAGAAAGGCACTTATCCTCAGCTGTAAAATGAGGGTAATAATAGCATCTACCTCACAGTGCTGTTGTGAAAATCGAATGAAATAACACATGCAAAGCACTTTGGGAACCTCAAATATGTCAACAGGTATCAATTCCAGTTATTATTTTTGTTATCAATATTATTATTATATATTAAATATATTATAAAATAAATAATAATAAAGTAAATAATATGATATATTAAATACATATTAAACCCCTAATCCTCAGTTTCCTCATCGGTAAAATGAGCTGGAGAAGGAAATGGCAAACCACTAGAGGACCTTTGCCAAGAAAACCCTAAATAGGGTCATAAAGTGTCAGACGCAACTGAAAAACAACTGAACAACAGAAAAAACCCTCATGCTATATAGCACAATCTATCGTTCTATACCCTGTGTAAATTCTAGGGCCTAGCCTCATCTTTTCCAAGCTGAATATTCCCATTCTCTGCAGGTACAATACTACACAGGAAGGAGAGGTGGAAGAGTCACACCATGATTGCGGCAGTCTTTGCCCTGGGGCTATCTCTCCCTGGCTTTGTCCAGCAATAACAACCTTCTTTCTCTGGGTGAGTGGTCTGTTTCTACTCTTTGGCCCTGGCTTTCCTTCCATGTTTAATTCCATTTCTCTCATTCCTCCCTCTCAGACGATCATCTAGGTCTACTAAGTATCCCAAGATCCTCTGAGATTCTTTACCCGGTAACTGTGCAGGAAAGATGGAGATGGCCTGTCATCTATATCTGGGACTCTGTCTGCTCAAGTGGAGCTGCACCTCCCAAAGTGCCTTTTCAAGGCACAATAGATTGGTGTCTCTTGGCTCTTTGGTCTCTCTGAAGACCCTAGAAGTCTCAGTTCCCAGTACAGGGCCTGATTGTGGTTGGATCAGGCTAGAATAGGCCTCTGTGATGAAAGATATCCCTCCTTCTGCAATTTATGTATTTATTTGAGTTAAAATTATGTGCGTATTCAAGTCATGCTGCTACATGCTGGTTTGGTCATACATTTTAAAAAGTAGGTTACCCTATGATGAGAATGTTAAAATGGGTTTTAGAGATGCTTGTTTTGGTAATGAGCCAGTATTGCTTGAAAAGTGATGGAATGTGTTATAAATAACTAAGTGGGGAGGGGTCCAGAAAAGGGTATGTCTTCTGGTAAGGGGAAAAAAAAGGGGTCTGGCACATAGCATAGGTTTCTCGGCAAGTTTGCAAAGCATTTTACATACATTATCTCATTTCATCCTCACAACAGCCCTAGTAGGTAGGTGGTAGTTGCTATTATTATTCCCATTTTATGCATGAAGAAACTGAGGGTGAATGGTTTAGTGATTTGACAAATGATCTTATGCTCTCTCTATAGGATCATTGTTTTAGTGTTGAAAGAGATTTTAGAAATTAGGTAGTTTTGACTCCTTACTTTATAGAGGAGGAAATTGTGATAGGAATGCTAAGGAAAAACTCCCTGTGTAGGAAATGAAACTTACTAAAGAAGGATGGTAGATATAGGCTGGCCCAGGATAGAGGTAAGAGAATTTAAGGAAGCACTAGGACCTTGAATATCCAGAGGGAAGTCAGGTTAAGAGTGAGGTATAACCACAGTGGGGATTCCTTTCAGGCAGAAATAGGCTAGGGAAGGAAGATGTTTAAAAAATGGTGCCTGGCACAAATCAGAGGAACTCTCAGATTGGGGGAATTGAGGTTCAGATGCCTTTGGGGAGAGCAATTTCTATATAAATCTTAGCACAAAAGAACAGGGTGTCTCCTGGGGCCATCATAAAGAGTAAAGTGGTTTGTTGGAGGTGGCCAGAGAAGTAGAAAATGAGGGAGAGAGGTTGGAAATGTTAACAACCAGATTCTTGCATTAAGCAGAGTTGAGCTGGATTCATTGACAAAGCTGTATGACTATTAAATATTTTGTCTGCTCTTTGTACAATGAACTGCCTCGCACAGTAGTAAGGTAGCTTTTTACTTTAAAAGACTAAGTAGGCATGCAATGAGATTATGGAACACTGCAGAGGAGCTGAGGAACCTAAAAGAACAATGATCATTTATGAAATGCCTACTATGTGCCAGGTCCTGTACCAAGTGCTGACCAAGGCATAAGAGTTAGAACTTTGACAAACAGGCTAGAGCAAGAGATGCAGAAATAGTAAGAAAAAGTACTCCATCTAATCACTACTCCTCTCCCCCAACTTTTTCAAGTTGCTATATTTTCCTGTGATCACAAAGAGATAGCCTGCACCAATGTGTAGGAGGACAAAGTGAAGGGTGGCTCTATGGTTGGTTGTTCTGTATGACCTGTGACTGTTTCTGGGAAGGATATTATGTGTTTGAAGGCAAATGGGTCATGAGGGAAAGAATACTGGATTTTCAATGTAGAGTATAAAGGAGGGACTTACTAAAATCATAAGGTCTTTGGAAGGGACCTTTGAAGATTTTCTAGTCCAACCAATTTAGATGGAAAAAGCTGACTTGTTTTATGAATGTACAATCAGTCACTGAGAGACTAGTGTTGATAACCTGGGTCACCTTATTGTAAATCTGGTGCCTTTTCCACTTTATCATGATAGATTTCAAGTCCCTGTTATCTCTACCCCCCAGAAAGAGTCACAAGTCTTAATGATTAACTACTTGGTCATTTCTTGCTTTTTGCTCATTGGCATGGACTATTTTCATACAGGCACAGGAAAGTGTATCCACCTAGGCCCTAGGGAATGGGGAGAAGGTGAGACTGGAGAGTGTGCATAGGCAGCTGGGTGACAAAATACCTGAGTATTTGAGTGTTAGAGTTGAAGTCCAGAAGCCCTGAGTTTGAATTCTGTCTCAAATACTGGATAAGTCACTTATCCTCTCAATTTCAGGGGTATGCTGGTGAGAGTCAATCATTAAATTTTCAGTGTGATCATTTATGTGTTGGCAAGTGCTGCAAATCAAAGCTTGAATTATCATTTCATTTATTGTCTAGACTTAAAGTGATACAGAAAATGTGAACGTAACTCCAATCCCAAAGCCCATTGATATGGGACCCTCTCCTTACTGGTAGAGATTAATGCCAGGCCCCAGCATGAGGGATGGGGCATGGAGGAAGTGATAATGCTGATAAAATGTGTCATACCTAGATTCCCCCTCCCCCCCGAGAGCTGGTTATTAAATATTCACCAGAACACTCCTGCTCAGTTTCCTCATCTGTAAAATGGACATGATAGTAGCACATACCTCCCAGGGTTGTTGGAGGGACTAAATGAGATAAAAAAGTAAAACATTTTGCAAACCTTAAAACTCTATGTAAATGGTGGCCATTATTTCTTATGCAGGCATTATGGAACAAATTACATAAATGTTAGAAAAATACACCTGTGCTTGTGGAAAGTATTCAATGGCTTGGGAAGTAGTTGGGAAATTCTCCAGACCACATTTTTACTGAGGGTCAGTATTGAAGTTGCTGTGAGCAGGCAAGGGGGTAAGATGGGGTAGAGGAGGGTGCATGTCATTTCATCATTAGAAGACTGACAGAATCAAAGTGTTCTAGGGTTGGAAAGGACCTCAGAGGCTATGCAGCCCAACCAGCACCTACACAAGAATCCTATCCACAATATCCCTGAAAAAATGGTCATCTAGCATTTGCTGGAAGACCTGTAGTGGATGACTAATTGTCCAGAAGACTCTGGATCTTAAGTTCATGCATTTGCATTGGACAGCCTCCCGGGCATTCCTAGAGAACCATGGTGTCTGGGTGCAAATGGCATCTCTGTTTGAGGGCTACACAATGGTGGGACAGGTCTTCAATGGGCCCTCACTTTCATTCCACATGGATTGGGCTGCATGAGTGAGAGTAGCAGGAAATGAGCTTGTGGAGCTGAGTGTCCTTAGCCTATGGAACCAAATAAGCAAACCATGCAGTAGATTTTATTAAGAGATATATGGGCAGCTAGGTGGTACACTGGATAGAACATTGGCCCTGGAGTTAGGAGGACCTGAGTTCAAATGTGGCCTCAGACACTTGGTAGCTATGTGACAAGTCACTTAACCCTTGGCAAGTCACTTAACCCTGATTGCCAGAGAGAGAGAGAGAGAGAGAGACAGAGAGAGAGAGAGAGAGAGAGAGAGAGAGAGAGAGACAGAGAGAGAGAGAGACAGAGAGAGGCTTTTAATCCCTGTTTAATAGAGTTCATGAAACTCAGTAACCCTTCCCTCTTATCTCCTGAAGCTTGTCTTGAAACATCAGAGTATTATGGGAAAAAAAGAAAACTGGGCCAGGAATCTTGAGATCTGGGTGCAAGTTTTAGCTCTGTCACTTGGTTTTTAAGCATTTTCTTAATTCTTTTTATATGTATTCTGTTTGTACATATAACCAGGTAGCATACTTGATAGAGTAATTGGAGTCAGGAAGACCTCAGTTCAAATTCAGCCTCATATACTTACTAGCTGTGTGACCTTGGGCAAGTCACTTAATCTCCCTCAGCCCTAGTTTCCTTATATGTAAAATAGGGATAATAGTAGCACCTATCTCTCAGGCTTGTCCTAAAGATAAAAATATTTGTAAAGTACTTTGGAAACCTCAAAGTGATATATGAATGCCAGCTATCATTATTATATCTAATATAGTTATATACCATATAATTTATTTAGATGTTTATGAATTTATAATTTATATAATGTATTTATATAATAAATAATATACAAACACTCATATACATATATGAACTGCATATGTATGTATGTGAGTGGGTATATTTCTTTACTGTCTCCTCCATTATAATGGAATTTCCTTGCCAGTAAATTCTGTCATTTACTGTCATCGTAACCCTAGTGCCATGCCTGGTGCGTAGCAGGCCCTTATTAGATGGGTGTTGATTTCTTAATGACTTGATTAGTACCTGTATGACCTGAGGCAAATCACTTCACTTATCTTGGCCTCATTTTCCTCATCTGTAAAAGGAAGGGGTAGGACTGAGTGATCTCTAGGATCTTCCACCTCTACATCTATTATCCTATGATTAACTTCCAAGTTTTCCTCCAGCTTGGGCATTCAATGATTCTCTCTGAAGAGCTAAGGTCTGGACTGGCTGACAGAGGGATTAATGATGAACACAGACCCTCCTGAAAAGGAAGGATATTCAACTTTCAGTTAATTACCTGTAACAAATTTTGTAATCCCAGCTTGTTGATTCCTTAACCACTTCCCATCATTACTGAGCCAGTGTGGACTCAGAAAATCAGGATTTGTAAGATTTGTCTGACCCAAATATAACACTCACCTATCCTTCTACACCCAAGAAATCATCAGCCATGTTGTCCTCACCATCACCATCACCATCCAATTTCCAATTTCACCATCACTGATCTAATTTCTATATGCTTCAAATTTATTAAACACTTCATTTACAACAATTTTATGAGGTAGGGATCGAAAATATTATTGCCTTCATTATAGATGAAGAAACTGAGGCACAGACAAGTAAAATGACTTACCCATATATCACACAGCTATTAAGTGTGGAGAGGAAGCATAATATAATGAATAGAACACTGGATTTTGAGTCAACGAGACCTACATTCAAGTCTTTTCTCA